GTCTCTTTCATGTAGAGTTTTCCAATTACTTTCCACTTTCAGGAAAACCTTCCTGGTGTATCTCAAATCCAATCAAATCCCAGGAGTTACTTCATAGGAAGAGCAGGGATTTTATTTACTCTTCCCCTAACATCACTGTGAATGTTCTCGTGGAATACTGGGGATGTTGGGGCTAGGAAGCAGACATAGATTGTATGTATTCCTTTCCCCCTCCCTGCCCCATGCTAAGCCTTCCAGAAGTATCTCCTGCAAAATGCTTCTGGCATCTGTTGCCTCCAAAGGAAAGAACCCGTATCTGAAATTCATATCTGGATCTCCAGTGCTTACCTAAAAGTCACTGACCTGGTCCTAAAAAACTCCTTATTGTAGTTGGTACCAGCTCGGCAGCTTTCCTGTCACAGTGATGGACAAAGGGACCTATTTGGCAGGACCAATTCAGAAGCAGCCGATCTGGCAGCATGACTGATAACTGCAGTAAGGAAACTGTTTGAAAATCAGACGGAGTAGCAAGCTTCCACCAATATGTTTCTTTGAAAGGAAATTCAATAGCACATTGTCAAGCTGCTCCAGCTAACCGGTCTGCCCCCTATCTCTGACACGTTTTCCAGAATTCTGTAATGAGTTCCATCTGGAGCTTTCTTAGGCTGCAGATGTTCTGATTAATCAGTCTCCAGTACTGACGACATCCTGATAGCCAGCGGTATATCGTATTCTTCACTTTGGGAGAGTTCGCTCTTTCTGGCACCTATCACCATCACATTCCCTTCTCCCTGGTGAACACTGAGGCACATAGTTCACCATCGAGTTCATTTGAATTAGTAGCTCAATAGAGAGAGAAAGACAGAGGACGTTGCTGCACAATAAACAGTTGGGAGGGGTCCAAGAATATGGGATGACACTGATCCCTCTGCAGTGGGCCAACACAGAGATAATCCACCACTTAAGATTTTGAAATAGTGTTTAAATGGGACTTAAGTGCTGCAGGTTTTCTACACCGGAGGGGAAACTGAGGTACCTGGAGACTTGCCCAAAGTCATCCAGCAGACCAGTGGCAGAGTTGGGAATCTTACTCAGGCCTCCTTAGTTTGCCCTGACCTTAGTTTCACCCACTCATTTTTGTTGCTCTTTTCAGAACCTTTTCCAATTCCAATATATCTTTTTTTGAGATGGGGCGACCACACCTGCACGCAGTATTCAAGATGTGGGCGTACCATGGATTTATATAGCGGCAATATGATAATGTTGTCTTATTATCTATCCCTATCTTAATGATTCCCAACATTCTGTGTGCTTTTTTGACTGCCGCTGCACATTGAGTGGATGTTTCCAGCGAACTATCCACAATGACTCCAAGATCTCTTTCTTGCATGGTATCAGCCAATTTAGACCCCATCATTTTATATGTATAGTTGGGATTATGTTTTCCAATGTGCACTACTTTGCATTTATCAACATTGAATTTCATCTGCCATTTTGTTGCCCAGTCACCCAGTTTTGAGAGATCCTTTTGTAGTTAAGTTGTGCATACCCTGTGAAAAATTTCTAGGGGCACGCTTGTTCTTTCCTACCATTGAAAATTATAAAGAAAATCAAACCAACTACTTCCCATCCCAACTTTTAACTAAATGCCGCAGCGATCAGCATAAGGAAAAGCAAATACATTGTCACCAATGATAATTGGCTTTTGGAAAGTATGGTAAGATTTGATGCATACAACTGTCTGATCACTAGTAACTCAAACCAAGTTCCTCTGTAGAGTATATGACCAAGTTTCATACTTCAGCCAGACTGATTTTTCACTTCTTTGCACCTTGTGTGGTGCTACTCAGCTGTGCAAAGAGAGAATGTAATGTTACCACCCTGATCTGGTAGCATTTTACACCTATTTAGCATAGGTATTAAAATACACCACCAGGTGTTAGGAGATGAAAATTCAAGCCCCTTGGTAGGTACTTTTTTTCCCCCTCCCTCAGTTCTCTGGTGACATAGGTAGTTAGTAGTGCACAATCACTGTCTAGACTCCAGTACTTCCTTCTTAAGAACACTGTCATAAGTAGAAATAGATGGAATACCACAGAAGGAAGGAGCACACAATTTTAAAGAATCAGAACTGGTAACATCAGGAGCCTTTTGGTGTTAGCCTCACTGGGCCCCATCTTGAAGTCCTTACTTAGTCCAAAGTCCTATTGCAATCAAAACTGAATAAGGAATTCCAAGATTAGACCCCCTAGTATGAGGCTAGTTCTCTGTTGCTAAACATCTTGTAAAATGCACTCTCAGAACTATCACTTGTGCATTGTTCCCTCATATAACCAAAGAGTGAACACATGGGACCAACCCCACATAGAAGCGGGTATGCAGGTGTATTTGGATTCTCTTTAGTAAATACTATTCAGATCATTAATTTTTCAAGCAGATGATCAAAAATGCACATGTCCAAGCTTAAACAGGTGGAAAAAAGCTCTTCTATCAGATAAATGCTAGGAAATGTATAGAAAGAATGTCTGAGTCTTACTAATAGACTAGCTATTGAGCTTCATGATGGGTTGTAATAAAACAAGCCATGCTCCACTTGTGGTTATTCTGTATGTAAGGTCACATTTCTGTATTTCAGTGTGCACAACAGCAGACATTCAAAGTGCCTTTCCACTTCACCAAATCAATTTGAAAAGACTGAGCAGATATTTTGTATTGTTTTGTAAGGTAATTGCAATTTGCTGGCTGCTAAATCATATTACAGGGCTCTCTGATGAAACCCTCATTGTGAGCATCTATGAAATCTAATTTATTCATTATGGTTAGAGACTAAGATGATGTTCTAAAATACAGCATGAGCTATGCAGAAAACATTCGTGTGCTCACAGCACCATCTAGTGTTCATTTTTGGCAATGTAGCTAGAAAATGCCTCTAGTCTAGGCCCAGTCTCAGGCTGGGTCTACACTACCCGCCTGAATCAGGGGGTAGAAATCGACCTCTCGGGGATCGATTTATCGCGTCCCGATGGGACGCGACAATCGATCCCCGAATCGACGCTCTTACTCCACCAGCGGAGGTGGGAGTAAGCGCCGTCGACGAGAAGCCGCAGAGGTCGATTTTGCCGCCGTCCCTACAGCGGGGTAAGTCGGCTGCGATACGTCGAATTCAGCTACGCTATTCGCGTAGCTGAATTTGCGTATCTTAAATCGACCCCCACCCCCTGTAGTGTAGATGTAGCCTCAGCCCTCTTCCTGCTTCTCTTTCCCATCATTGCTAAGAGCAAAATAAACCTCAACATGTGAAGTGATCCCTTTCTAAGAGATGATATGACATGAATAGCATTGTGGTGGGGCAATTATAACACGTCTTTTAAAAAGTATGGTACAGTTATTGGAGATCATTACACTTTAGTGTATGACAAAGTGCAACACAATGTTTTGAACTACCCTCACACATGAAAGTTCCTTTGATTGCAAATGTCCTAATTAACTATATATATAATTTGGGATGTGCCTCTTATGTTTTATTGGCAGATACTAAAATAATATGGGGCCATATTATTCTAGTATCCGCCAATAAAACCTAAGAGGCACATCCCAAGTTTTGAATGTGTTGAAGGGATTGTTGTCCTCTGCAAGAATATTGTGGAAAAACCAGGGAGGAGGGGGAGGACTGAAGAAACGAGCAAGAAAAAGAATGGATCGGTTGATTAAGGACAGTAACATGAAAAACAATAAAATGAATAAAAATCATCTTGTAGCAAAGATTGTAAACTCTGATCCTGCAAACACTTAGGTGTATGCTTAACTTTACTACTGAGTAGCCCAATGACAACCTTAAGTCTGGCATTCTCTGAGGGCTTGGCTTTGTAACCTTAAGATAGTTTTTTGTGTGTAATTACTTACATTGCAGTAGCACCTAGAGCCGCAGTCCTGGCCAAGGAGGACCCCATTGTGCAGTACACCAGATAAAAGGACAGTCCCTGTCCCAAAACTTGACAAGCCCAGAACAAGATGAGAGAAAACAGGTGTCTACAGAGAAGGATGAGCAGATAGCAAATGTGAAAAATCAGGACAGAGGATGTGTGTGTGTGCGTGCAGGGCCATCCTTACCCATATGCAAAGTACGCAGCTGCGTAGGGCACCAGGAAATTTGGGGCACCAACTTGGCCCAAATTTCCTGGTGCCCTATGCAGCTTCGTGCTGCTTAGGGTAACCAGACAGCAAATGTGAAAAATCGGGACAGGGGGTGGGGGGGTAATAGGAGACTATATAAGAAAAAGACCCAAAAATCGGACTGTCCCTATAAAATCAGGACATCTGGTCACCCTAGTGCTGCTCCAGCAGCCAGCCCAATCCGGCCAGGAAAGCTGTCCCCCCTCCTGCCCTGTGCCCACTCCACCTCTTCCCCATAGCCCCTGGCCCTGATCTGCCCCTGCCCCACCTCTTCCCACCCCTGCTCCACCCCTTCCCATGAGCTACAACTTGGGGGACTGCAGCAGGGGTCAGGCTTGCCCTGCACTCACCGGGTGGCGGGAAGTGGAGTTACCTGGCACCAACTCACTCTGCCGGCTAGTGCTGGTTCCCCTCTGCCCCCCAAGCCTGCTCCTTCCCTCCAGACCTTGGGCACAGCCCCACCGCCCCACGGAGGCCTGGGGCTGCGTAGGGCACCACACTGTCAACAGACGGCCCTGTGTGTGTGTGTAATAGGTGCCTTTTAAGAAATAGCCCCAAATATCAGGACTGTCCCTATAAAATCGGGAAATCTGGTCACCCTACCACAGAGCAGCCCACTGCGGGGGGAAGGGGCGCAAAGAAACCAGGAGCCCGCATTGCTCAGCCGCCCAGGGTGGCATTTGGCCCTGTGGTTGGCCATAGGGTGAGCAGCTGGCGGGGGCGGGAGGGGGAATAGGCGCCTATATAAGACAAAGCCCCAATATCAGGCCTCTCCCTGTAAAATCAGGCCATCTGCTCCGGCTGGGTGGCCGAGAGGAGCGCGCCAAAGCCCGGCTGTTATGACTCGAGCCCAGGCTCGGCGCACACCGGGAGCAGGGGCTCCCTCGGGCCTGGCTGGGCTCGGGGCCCCCAGGCGAGCTCGCTGAAGCCCCGGCGAGCCGCCTGGGTGTGAAGCCCCAGGTCCCTCCTCCCTGACGGGGCTGGGCGGGCCCTGCTGGCTGCTCCTCCCCGTCCCCGTCCCCGTCCCGGCTGGCCGCTCAGAGGCAGCCCGGCGAGCCGCGGAACCAGCCGAGCCCATGGCCCAGGAGGACGAGGCGGCGGCGGAGGCGGAGAGCGGCGGGCTCCTGCTGGAGATCCTGAGCTCGCCGCTCAACCTGAGCCTGCTGGGCCTCTGCCTCTTCCTGCTCTACCAGATCCTGCGCGGCGAGCGGCCCCCGCGCCAGCCCGACGCCGAGCCGCCGCCGCCGCCCAAGCTCAAGCGCCGCGACTTCACCCTGGCGCAGCTGCGGCCCTACGACGGGGTGCAGGACCCGCGCATCCTCATGGCCATCAACGGCAAAGTCTTCGACGTGAGCCGCGCCAGGAAGTTCTACGGGCCCGGTGCGTGGCTGGGGGGCAGCGGGGGGAGGCGCTGGGTGCGGGGGGTGCCCAGGGGACAGTGGGGGGAGACTGGCTCTTGGGAGCTGTGGGGGAGGAGGAGAGGATGTGGGGAGCTGTGGGGGGAGGCGCTGGGTGTAGCGGGGATGAGGGGGAGGTGCTGTGGGGGTGTAGGGATCAGGGCAGTGTTGGGGTGTGCTGTGGGGAGGACGAGCTGGGGTGCAGTGGGGACGAGGGGGACGAGCTGGGGTGTAGTGTGGGGGGAGGGTGTGGTGGGGAGGTGCTGGGGTGCAGTGGGGACCGGGAAGGTGCTGGGGTGTAATGTGAGGGGGAGGGTGCAGTGGGGACCAGGGGACGAGCCGGGGTGCAGTGGGGACGAGCTGGGGTGCAGTGGGGATGAGGGGGACGAGCTGGGGTGTAGTGTGGGGGGGAGGGTGTGGGGGGGATGAGCTGGGGTGCAGTGGGGACCAGGGGCGGTGCTGGGGTGCAGTGGGGACCAGGGGCGGTGCTGGGGTGTAGTGTGATGGGGAGGGTGTAGTGGGGACCAGGGGATAAGCCGGGGTGCAGTGGGGACGAGCTGGGGTGTAGTGGAGATGAGGGGGATGAGCTGGAGTGCAGTGGGGACCAGGGGAGGTGCTCGTGTGTAGTGTGGGGGAGAGGGATTCAGTGGAGGAGAGGTGGAGGTGCAGTGGGGGTGAGGAGAGGCTCTGGGGAGCAGTGTGGGGGAGAGGCTTTGGATCTGGTTGCAGTGTTGGGCTCTGTCTCTCACAGTATGTTCTCATCTCCCTAGCAGAGCTCCCCAACCCTTCCTCCCTCCCTCTGCTGTTTGTTTGTTGTTTCCCTGTGTAACTGGCAGATCTGGTCTGTGGAGAGGATTATACTGGGGGCACTGAATTGGGGGGGGAGAGAGGCCCATCTGTGCTCTGTCTGCACTTTAGAAGCCCAGCTCCTCACCCAACTCCCAAGGCCTGACTGAACACAACCCAAATCACTGCCTTGCTCTGCAATCTCCGTGGGTGTAGTAGGTTACACAACAATCAGTGCCTCTTTCCAGAGCACAGGAGACTCCCAGATAACAAGGCAAAACTACCAATATGGGGGCCCACAGAGGCCAAAATAAAAGGCAGTGGTGGTCTCTAAGGGGGAAAGTACTCCGCCACAGGGCTTTGCAATATATGCTGTCTGCTGGAATTTGGGCAGCTATCAATTTAGAACTGTATTCCCTGCACAACACATGGGGGGGAAATATTCTTTATTAATGCTTAATCTCTCTAGTTTCCTATTTGAAAAACACTTTTTTGCTTCTGAGCGGCTCTGGGTTTGGGTTGTCTTTAAAATTGGTGAACTTATGCCTAATGGGAGGTGATACCACTACAACTAAGTAATAATAATGAGATCATAAAGTTGGGAGCCAGTCCTGTAACTCCTACTCACCTAAATTAATTGGCATACTCAGGGCTCCTCCTATAGGTTTACTTGTATCATCAGAGTACAGAACCAAGCCTTTTAATTGTGTACACTCAGCGTATATCTGCCCCTTTCACTTCATTTTGATCTTTTTTTTGTCAAGCTCCATGCATATTTACAGAACTCTTTAAATGATGATACTGATGGGGCAGGCAGTTTTGTTCACCTGGCACAAGATTTCTTTGTAAAGCCATAGATGGAAGCCCATGAAATCTTTTGTTGATTTCATCATTACATTCACTTTTGATGGAAACAGTTACATTATTTAATATTTATAATATAGTAACACAGTTATTTTTATGATAGTTGTTCCCAGTCAAAATTACAGCCCCACTTGTGCTGTTCAGACCCATGCAAAGATAATCTAGGCCCCATAGGTGCGTGTGTGTGAGTAAAGATGAGTAAGGTTTTAAGTTCTAGAACAGTCAGGTAATATACATGATTGATTTGGATGTGTGGTTCTCTATCAGCATAGAGCTTTAAAAAAATCTACTCATGAGTTACATCTCAGAACATCAAGGAGTCTGGTGGCACCTTAAAGACTAACAGATATATTTGGGCATAAGCTTTCGTGAGTAAAAACCTCACTTCCTCGGATGCATCCGA